AGCTTGGACGGACCACCATAAGTAGTATAAGTAGGAACTAATTGTGGTCTTTGAGGATTAGGTATGGATGATGATCGTTTTCTATTTGCTGTATTTGGGACGTTTAAAGAACTTTGTTTTAAGTCACTGGAAGTAGAAGATAATGTTGCGGGAGGATTGGACGATTTTGTATCTAATACATCAGGTTGGGAACCTTCATTAGATTTTAATGCAGCATCATCATTGCGTTGTTCTTCATCAGTAGTAGGTTGATTTTGTTCATCTTCTGACTCTTTATGTGGACTTACAGCTGCAACGGCAGATGTTGCAAGGTCTTTTGTTGAACGGAAAGCATGACGCTTCGCAGATTCAAAAGTAGTGACCCAATCTTTAAGCTCAGTTTCGGTTTCAGCTTGAAGAACATAGCTAGTTCTTCGTAAAAATAACAAAGTTAAATATTAGAATATTAAAAAATAAAACATTATAGCATTATATCAAAAGAATAACTTACTGTTTAGCACCACATACAACTTCAAAGCAGAATCTTCGATCTTGTGATGTATCTAACCTCACTTCACAAAGTAAAACACCAATTTTTTCACTCTCCTCGACCGTGGAACGATTTTTTCCAGATCCAACAGAAGCCCACCAAAAAATTCCATTTTTCAAATAAAAATACTTTTTCGTCCAAGTACCTTTTCCACCAAGAGGCTTCATGAAAAGATAACCTTGCTTTGGAGGTATATCGGTGAGACTTACAGCTGGAGAAGGGGGACGATTGGATTGTGATGAATTTGGTGTAGGATGTATTGTTATGGGGGTTACATGATCAGTGTATTTTGTTAATTTACGACGTGGTTTAGTCATATTTATCGCCTCCTATGCAATCCACATATTAATTGTTAAATGATAAATGTAAAATAATCATAATAATAATAATAATAACCTTTAGAAGTGAACGAAAATTATACCTCTTCTAACTTTTTTCTTAAATCTTGCAGAACCGGTACCTGATTTTCACATGTTTTTTTGCTCTAAAATCATATCGATTTCATAAGCTATATGTATATTTTTTTAATGTAATACTTAATGAGATTATGGTACCTCACATAACCATCCCTTTAACCTATCAAAACTATTTTCAGAACCTTTGTATATCATCAAACATGAATCGTGGAGTTCTAGATGTGCACATATGCCACCCAAAAACTATTTTATCAAAGGATAAAATGAGTAACTTGTATGAAATTAAATAATTATTATAAATTATTGATACTATAAGGCACCTGATCCATAAGAAAATGATCCAAAGCAGATCTAAACTGGATAATTTTGAGAGTATAATCTAGTGCATTTTTTATATATGTTTTCCGAACTTCAAATAGTTGAAATGCATCCTATAAAAAAAACAGTATATTATTAATATTTATTTCAATGTAATTAATGTTAAATAACAACACCAACCTCTCGTAATGCACTTGCTTCTTTGGTCTTTGATTGAGATGCATATTTTGCTATTATGCTATCATATTTTTCAAGTGCTTTATCATAAGCTCGGCGAACTTCCTATTAAAAAAAATAA